TCAACAGTAAAATGGAAGAACCTGGAAAATATGGTGCACTTGCAATTTTCGGTACTTCATGTGAAGATTTCTTACAGAAAGTCAACATATCAGAATGATGATATGGATGATGATATGGGATTGAGCTGCAGGATTGTCATGTACGTCTTAAACTCTCTACAGCACAACAGATGAACAATGAGCTAATTTGCACTGTTGATATAAACCCCCACTATAGCCTCAATTCCATCCATTCTTGTATTCCCCACCAACTGATGTCAAAGAAACACTGCATGTCCCTTATTTTGATACAAAAATATTACTATCCTGAATTGTAGTTATGGATGGCCCTAAAATCCATACATTAATCTAATCACCCTTTTAACATCATTCAAGTTGACAATTTAGTGCACACCTTTCTGACTGGGGAACCTTCTCTACAGATGAACAAAGAATAGTCTCCTGTAATTTAGTTACATCAGACCCATATTGCAACAACCAAGTTCAACTGATACTTGCTTTTTTTAGTGGCCTTTTCCAGAACCAACAAAAAAGCAATTATTTCCAGCTTTGCAGCTGCATATCTAAATGTTCAATGTACTATATGACGCTGAGTAGTCCACTGCATGTTCACTTTTATCATCTAGCCCAGTGGTTCGCAACCTGTGGTTTGTGGACCATCAGTTGGTGGCAAGAACTGAAATATGGTCCATAGCCTCATCATTACTACACAGCTGGTCTCGCAATCAATAGGAGTATAGTGTCTAGATCCAGGGAAGTCATGCTACCCCTCTATTCTGCTTTGGTTAGACCACACCTGGAATATTGTGTCCAATTCTGGGCACCACAATTGAAGAGAGATATTGACAAGCTGGAATGTGTCCAGAGGAGGGCGACTCAAATGATCAAGGGTCTTGAGAACAAGCCCTATGAGGAGCGGCTTAAAGAGCTGGGCATGTTTAGCCTGAAGAAGAGAAGGCTGAGAGGAGACATGATAGTCATGTATAAATACGTGAGAGGAAGTCATAGGGAGGAAGGGGCGAACTTGTTTTCTGCTGCCCTGGAGACTAGGACGCGGAACTACAAAAAAGGAGATTCCATCTGAACATTAGGAAGAACTTCCTGACTGTGAGAGCCGTTCAGCAGTGGAACTCTCTGCCGAGTGTGGTGGAGGATCCTTCTTTGGAAGCTTTTAAACAGAGGCTGGATGGCCATCTGTCAGGGGTGCTTTGAATGCAATTTTTCTGCTTCTTGGTGGGGGGATGGGGTTTGGACTGGATGTCCCATGAGGTCTCTTCCAACTCTATGATTCTATGAAAACCCTCTTATAGTGCCAAGGCTTATTAAATATGGTTTTCTGTGGGCGAGCAGATGGCAACCACTGGATAGCGATGTTCTTGTATCAGAAACTAGAGCTGATGTGGTCTATCCAATGCAATTTTCAGAACCAGCACCCTAAAATAACCAAACTGAATCTAAAGTTGACCAAAAACTGATTAGTAACCCTTTTGATACTAATGTTGGAGTGATCCCAGGTCAAAAAAAGGTTGGGAGCTACTGATTTGTATTCTTGTTTTGAAACTCTGCTATTCCTTAAGAGCAGCATTTCTCAACCTGGAGGTCGGGACCCCGGGGGGGGGGGGGTCACGAGAGGGTGTCAGAGGGGGTCACCAAAGACCATCAGAAAACACAGTATTTTCTGCTGGTCATCTGGGTTTTGTGTGGAAAGTTAGGTCCAATTCTATTGTTGGTGGGGTTCAGAATGCTCTTTGATTGTAGGTGAACTATAAATCCCAGGAACTACAACTCCCAAATGTCAAACTCTATTTTCCACGAACTCCACCAGTGTTCACATTGGGGCATATTGAGTATTCAGTCCAAGTTTGGGCCAGATCCATCATTGTTTGAGTCCACAGTGCTCTCTGGATGTAGTTGAACTACAATTCCAAAATTCAAGGTCAATGCCCACCAAACCCTTCCAGTATTTTTGTTGGTCATGGGAGTTCTGTGTGCCAAGTTTGGTTCAATTCCATCATTGGTGGAGTTCAGAATGGTCTTTGTTTGTAGATGAACTATAAATCCCAGCAACTGCAACTCTCAAATGACAAAACCTATTCCCCCCCCCCCCAACCCCACCAGTATTCAAATTTGGGCATATCAGGTATTTGTGCCAAATTTGGTCCAGTGAATGAAAATACATCCTCCCTGCGTATCAGATATTTATATTGTGATTCATAACAGTAGCAAAATTACAGTTATGAAGTAACAACGAAAATAATTTTATGGTTAGGGGTCACCACAACATGAGGAACTGTATTAAGGGGTCACGATATTAGGAAGGTTGAGAAACACTGCTTAAGAGCTTTAGCAGCCCCCACTGATGAGAAAGGTTTGCCCATGCCTGATCTAGATGGATATAGTAGAGAGATTAAGCTACACTATGCACCTGGATATCGAGGATAGTTATGACGGTGTGGTGAATGAATTAGAACCAGACATCCCGAGGAGTGAAGTTGAATGGGCCTTAAGAAGCATTGCTAACAACAAGGCAGCAGGAGACGACGGGATCCCAGCTGAACTGTTTAAAATCTTAAAAGATGATGCTGTCAAGGTGATGCATGCCATATGCCAGCAAATATAGAAAACACAAGAATAGCCATCAGACTAGAAAAAATCAACTTATATCCCCATACCAAAAAAGGGAAATGCGAAAGACTGCTCAAACTTCCGTACAGTGGCCCTTATTTCTCATGCCAGTAAGGTAATGCTCAAGATCCTGCAAGGAAGACTCCAGCAATACATGGAGAGAGAGTTGAGATGTTCAAGCTGGGTTTAGAAAAGGCAGAGGAATGAGAGACCAGATTGCCAATATCCGATAGATAATGGAGAAAGGCAGGGAGTTTCAGAAAAACATCTACTTCTGCTTCATTGACTATTCTAAAGCCTTTGACTGTGTGGATCATAATAAATTGTGGCAAGTTCTTGGTGGGATGGGCATACCAAGCCACCTTGTCTCTCTCCTGAGGAATCTGTACAAGGACCAAGTAACAACAGTAAGAACTGACCACGGAACAACAGACTGGTTTAAGATTGGGAAAGGTGTACGGCAAGGCTGCATACTCTCACCCAACCTTTTTAACTTGTATGCAGAACACATCATGCGATGTGCGGGGCTTGATGAACGCAAAGCTGTGGTGAAAATTGCTGGAAGAAACATTAACAACTTCAGAAATGCAGATGACACCACTCTGATGGCCGAAAGCGAGGAGGAGCTGAGGAGCCTTTTAATCAAGGTGAAAGAAGAAAGCGCAAAAGCTGGGTTGCAGCTAAACATCAAAAAAACCAAGATTATGGCAACAAGAATGATTGACAACTGGGAAATAGAGGGAGAAAATGTGGAGGCCGTGACAGACTTTGTATTTCTAGGTGCAAAGATTACTGCAGATGCAGACTGTGGCCAGGAAATCAGAAGACGCTCACTTCTTGGGAGGAGAGCAATATCCAATCTCAATAAAATATTGAAGAGTAGAGACATCACACTGGCAACAAAGATCCACCTAGTCAAAGCCATGGTATTCCCTGTAGTAACCTACGGATGTGAGAGCTGGACCTTAGGGAAGGCTGAGCGAAGGAAGATAGATGCTTTTGAGCGGTGGTGTTGGAGCAAGGTTCTGAGAGTGTTTTGGACTGCAAGAAGATGCAACCAGTCCATCCTCCAGGAAATAAAGCCCGACTGCTCATTGGAGGGAAGGATACTAGAGACAAAGTTGAAGTACTTTGGCCACATCATGAGGAGACAGCAAAGCCTAGAGAAGACAATTATGCTGGGGAAAGTGGAAGGCAAAAGGAAGAGGGGCCAACCAAGGGCAAGATGGATGGATGGCATCCTTGAAGTGACTGGAGTGACCTTGAAGGAGCTGGGGGTGGTGACGGCCGACAGGGAGCTTTGGCGTGGGCTGGTCCATGAGGTCACGAAGAGTCGGAGACGACTGAACAAATGAACAACAACAAAAAACTCTCAAATGACAAAACCAATTCCCACCCCCCCACCCCCAGTATTCAAATTTGGGCATATCAGATATTTGTGCCAAATTTGGTCCAGTGAATGAAAATACATCCTTCCTGCATATCAGAGATTTATATTGTGATTCATAACAGTAGCAAAATTACAGTTATGAAGTAACAACGAAAATAATTTTATGGTTGGGGGGTCACCACAACATGAGGAACTGTATTAAGGGGTCACGGCATTAGGAAGGTTGAGAAACACTGCTTAAGAGCTTTAGCAGCCCCCACTGATGAGGAAGGTTTGCCCATGCCTGATCTAGATGGATATAGTAGAGAGATTAAGGTACACGATGCACCTGGAACTACGGGGAACTGTTTTAAGCTCCCACTGATCAGTCAAGGAGCCTGGGAGAAGTCGGATAGGAAGGGTTGTTGTAGGTTTTTTCGGGCTATACGGCCATGTTAGACAACACTCCGATAGGAAGCCTTGTTTCCCAGCCAGCAAAGCTGTCAAAAACTTTTCCCCGTGAAAGAGGACGGGAGAAAGAGACGGAGAGGAGAAAAGGGGAGGAATCTTTGGGTCCCGCCAAAGAAGCAGCCTGACAGGATAGGGAGGTTGGTTGGTGAAAGGAGGGGGGGGGGTGCGAGAGGAGGGGGGAAGGCGCGAGCACCGCGGTTGTTATGGCAACAGCGGGAGGGAGGGAGGGAGGCTGGCGCAGGCCGGCGCGAGGGAGGGGGAAACTTCAAATCCCAACCGTCAACGCACGAGCGGCTTCCCCTCTTAAAGGGGCGAGCGCACTCCAGAAAAGCAGCCCCGGACAAAAGGGACGGAGGTGTGGAGGCGCGAACAGGAGGGCGCGCGGGCCAACGCCTCGCGCTGAGGGAAGCTCAGGCCTTGGAGTCGCCTCTTCCTCCCAGGACGACGATCCAGCCCCCCCCCTCCAAGCCGAATGCCCCCTCCCGCCGCCTCCCTTTGGAGCCCTGCCCCTCTCTGTGTGTGTCTGTCTCCTTACCCACACAGTGCGTGAGCCGGTGCCGCCAGGAGTCGAGTTCGCGGCGGACTCCCCTCCGCTCCGCCGTGCAGCGGGGGCTCCGGCACTGCGAGGCGCCGAGAGCGGGAGCCGCGGCGGCCATTCTGCCTGTTCCCTTTTCCAACTGCCTCTGACCTCACGCCCGCTCATTTGCATGCGGGAGCGCGCGCGCGCAGGCTGCCCCGCCCACTTCTTCGGAGCGCGCGCGCATGAGAGAGAGAGAGAGCCGGCGACCCGCTCCCCTGCCTCCCTCCCTCCCTCCCTCCCCCTCTCTGTCCAACCGCCCGCCTTCCTCTCAGAGCCGTTGCCCGAAGGCTGCTGGGCTCCCTCCTCCTCCTCCTCCTCCTGCCGTCGACACGAGAGGGAGAACCAAGAAGAGGAGGAGGAGGGTCGCTTTGTGTGGGCAGGGAGAGAGAAAGGGGCTCCTGTCAGGCCTCTCCGCCCCAGAAGGCCGTGCGCCACCCTGATGCTCCTGCCAGGAAGCCGCTTAGAGCCAGAAGCCCATACGCCTTAGACCTGCTCGGGAATGCTTGTTTATTTGAGGTGCCTTTTTAAACATTATTATTTGAAACACAACAAGATTAGTACACAGCAAACAAGATCACTCTGCTGGCTGTTCTATTGGATCACATGTCGGACCCTTCCCAAGTGTTTAGGGCTGTGTGATGTATTGGCGAATAATGTGTGCAGATCCCAGTAGGGTGGCCTTTTGCAGCTGACAGATGGTAATATTAGGCTTGGGTAACCACGGAAAAATTTGGTTCTAAACTCGTTTTGTTTTTAGGGGGCCCTTGCGTTTCGTTTTTTTTTAATAATTCCGAAATTTTCCTTTAAAAAATTTCAAAATTTACGAAATTTCGTAAAATTACGAATCGATTCGTTAATGGCGGACGAGATTGCGCAATATGCTAAAAAAACCTCCAAATGGGACAGGAGGAACTTCTGAAGCTTCCCTCTCCCTCTGTTGTTGACTGTTGGTGTGATAAAACAAACAACAACTATAAAACTTGCACCAGACATGTGAAAATAATTACAAAATAATTACGAAATAATTACGAAAAAAATTGAAAAAAATGTTTCGAATCTTAATTACTCCTCACACTATTCCAGCATGGCTCAATATTGGATCGTAAGCTAATTTAAATACGAATTAATAACGAATTACGAAATTAACGAATGAAACCGCCCAAGCCTAGTAATTATGTTTAAGTGCAGGCCAAGGTCTTTAGGCACTGCACCCAGTGAGTCGATCACCACTTGTATCACCTTTACTAGCTTGTGCCAGAGTCTTTGCAGTTCAATCTTTATTTATTTACCATATTTGTATACTGCCTTTCTCAACCCGGAGGCGACTCAGGGCGGTTCACAGTTGGCAACAATTTGATGCCTCAACCATTAGAACCATCATAGAATACTATTAAAAACATTTAGCATAAAATATAAAAACTGTACAAAGCCATAAAATATTGTCATGAGCGTCCCCTTGTTAAAGTCATTATTCAGTGCATCGTCAAGTCGATCCAGGCCTGTAGGAAAGGGGGGGGGGGTGTTTAGGGGTTCAAACCCCTCCCCCCCGAAATGTTTCAGATTTTTTAAAAAACTTGGTTTACTCATGAATTTTAACTGGTTAACCAAATCCCCATGCTAAGTCTATGAGATGCAAAAAATTAAGAGTCCCTCCATAACTGCAAGCACAATCTCAAGCAAATATTGACAATTTATTCACACTTTCATTGCTTGCAGCAACAGCCGATGTAGCGAAGCAACCAAGTTGGGTGTGTGTGTGTTGAATGCTCTCATTAAGGAGGGCAGACTTGGTGGAGGTGGTTGACAGGGGCGGAGCTGCAGGCTATGGAAGGCTGCTCTGCTCCCTGCTGTGCTCTTTGCTTCAGCGTGAGCTAGGAGGCAGGTTTCAATCCCCCCCCCCGAAATTTTCAACCCCCCCCAAATGTCAACCCCTCTCGAAATTTTTTTCTGGCTACAGCCCTGAGTCGATCCATGATTTTATAGAATTATGCTGCATTAGCGAAGGCCTGCTCAAAAAGCCAGGTTTTAACCTTTCTTCGAAAAGTCAGAAGGGAGGGGGCCGATCTTATATCCCTAGGCAGGGCGTTCCACAGTCGAGGGGCCACCACTTTAAATCCTCATATTGTGTCAGCTTTTCCAGCTGTTTCTCTTTAATTATTATTATTATGGAGGTCAGCTGTGACCAGCAGTGCTGTAGAATTTGAAGAGGCACAAATGGAGAGCGAAAGAGAAACGTGCCAAGAGGAAGTTGCGTCAAGCCTACCCCGACCGAGACTGCCTTCCACCTGGAAACCAATGCCCTCACTGTGGGAGAAGATGCAAATCAAGAATAGGGCTCCACAGTCACCTATGGACCCACCAGTACACTCTTGGAAGACTATCCTACTCAGACAATGAAGGATCGCCTAAGTATTATGATGATGATGATTAAAACAATTACCAACCTGTATCCCAGTTATACAGGTGGAGCGCCCCTTCTCCAGAATTGCTTCAAAATTAATCTAAATTTCCCACTAGAGGCTGGATATCTGAATACAAAATTTCCTTACGTCACATTCTGGGAGGATCAAATATATAATACAAAATGGTTTGTTCAACAGAAATTGAACAACCTATCACGGATTACCTACTAAATGTATCTAAATCCTGACTGTTATTAACTCTACTTCATAACTTTAACTCATATTCCAAACTTCATCATTCATATGTCTCGCTTTTTTTCTCACTCATACCCTAGCTAACTGATCGTGGCTTTAACTGATCTCTGTCTCTGATTCTGACTGAAAACTTTATCAAATCAGCTTGTTGTTTTATCATAGTTGTGTTATTTAAATAAATGGAAACAACCCATTATTGGAATGTTCTCTTTCAGTGTAATTGCACGATTCTGGCACTTTATTGATGCAAATTCCCATGAACAGTGTTCCACACATCCTTGCTTTCAACCCCTATTTGTTCTAGCCAACACATGTGCACTGTTCCTCCTCTTTTACTGCAGCTGTACAGATGTGCAGTTTTGGCATTCTAGCAAGACCTTCCCTTGCTTCACAATACTAGGGCCCCTTCTACACGGCCCTATATCCCAGGATCTAATCCTAGATTATTTTCTTATCCCAGATTATCTGGCAGTGGAAATTCATATAATCCAGTTCAAAGCAGATAATCTGGGATCAGATCCTGGGATACAGGGCAGTGTAGAAGGGGCCTGTGTCAACTGTAGGGTGTCAGTGTGTAACATGAATCTTAGAAATGTATATTATTATCATATAAAGACTACATTTTTAAATATAGATAAATGCAAGGTTTTCAGGAGACACCTCTATGTTGTACCGGTCCCCATACATTTTGGTATTACAATTAACGTCTGTGTGCATATCTCTTATAATGGGTTGGTTTTAACTTCTGGTTTGAGAGTTAACCTGAATTGCTGTGTTGCTGAATGATGTATGTCTAGAAAGTATATCACCAGCATGAAATGTTTAAAAAGCTCTGTTGTAATGCTTCAGCTTTGTATCACGCGAAAAATTATTGTGCATAAAATTACCTTCCTTTATTTTCTTTCACTACAGACATTTATATCCTGCTCTTTTTTCTCTCAGAGGAGATTCAGGCTGGATCTACACTGCCCTATATCCCAGGATCTGATCCCAGATTATCTGCTTATCCCAGATTATCTGGCAGTGTAGACTCATACAATCCAGTTCAAAGCATACAATCTGGGATCAAAACCTGGGATATAGGATAGTGTAGATCCAGCCCCAAAGCAGCTAAGAACTAAAAATTATGCAATGTGTAAAATAAAACATTAAACATTTAAGCATTAAAATGGATTTAAATGTTGGACTGTTAAAAATACAGTGTTAAAATAAATAAAACTATTAATTAAACTATGCAACATGTTTCCTCTGCTCAGTCTTTAAAACTTTCTTATTTAAAAGACTGTCTAAAAAGAAAGGTTTTAGCCTGCCTCTGGGAGGACTATGTGTATAAGCTATATATATGAAATATCAATGGCTTTCATGTTTAGACTTGGGTTCCATCTCTCAAGATAATGCATTATGTACGTAAATGCAAATACAGATGTGCCAAAATCCAAAACATGCCCAATCCCAAACATTTCAGATCAAGAGTATGGAGTCTGTCATAGTGCTAAACTACAACAGCACCAAGCTCTTGAGAAAGAAAGACAAAGTAGCAGTAATGGAACAGACTGATACTTGAAATTGGGGTTTTTATTCTGTGGGAAAGGTTGATGAGAACAAACTTTCCCAAGTTGGCTTGGAGGCAACAACAGGACAAGCCCTAGAAAGAGAAGTGGGCAAAAGTGGTCAAGTTTGCCACTCAAGGAAGAAATCAGATTTGAACTTGTTTTTCAGTTATATAGTACTTATGCTTGTTAGGTTATTACTTGACAAAAGAGGAATTTTTTCTAAGCATATTAGTGTTGGGACTATTGGCATGTTCAGTCTCGTGTTTTCCAAGCAGCCTACCATATACCCCAGTTTAAGAGTTATCAGGAGCCCCCCTCCTCCCGGCCCAACACAAAAAAAAAAAAAAAAAAACACCTGCTGGGACATAGTAGAACACCTTCCCAGAAAGACAACTGGCCATCCACTCATTTTTTCTGAAGTGTGCAAAGGGGACTGTTCAGTGCTTTTCAAAACGATGATTCGTGGAACTGCAAGTACAGGTAGAGTCTATCTTAACCAGTTGGCACAAATATTGCACCTGTCCCTGGCACATTAGGAAACAATAATTATTCATATCAGATCGCCTTAGCAGTGTTCTGAGGCACTGATTCTCAGTCTTAGCTCTCTGAATGTGTACTTCATTTCCCCTATGCTCCAGTTAGCATTGGCAATGACCTAGGATTCTGGGAATTGAAATCCAAAATATTTGGGGGTCCCAAGATTGAGAACCTCTTATCAGAAGAACACCAAGTTCACACTGGGTGAAGGACATAACATGCCATGCTAGTGCTCCTTGAGAAAACATGTTTATGCTTAACATATCCTAGAATCTTATAATAACATGTTGTTTTGGCAGAACTTTGTTGAAAAATAATGTCATTTGATACCATGCTCCATTACCAATATGTTACCTTTCTTAATAGACATGCTATTAACAGCAGCTAGATTATTAATAGCAAAATATTGG